TTCTTTTTAACAAAAAGGCAAGAATGATTTGAAATATCGGTTTGTAAAATCATTCGTGTCTGACTTGTGAGATAAATTAGACGAGTGTAATGAATACCTTATAAAGAATGAATCTATCATTTACATTACGTGACATACCTTTTATAAAGGGTTAATTACTATTACAACAAGATAAGAGTGTCAGGTTTAACGTTCTAATCCTTGTTAATACATAGCGCTACTTTTAATTAATATGTTTTTAAATGTTGATTGATATATCTTGAAATATAAGTTATGCTCTCAAAAACAATTGTTACTTCTTTTTTAAGATACAAAATGTCTCTATTAAAGCATGCTTGAAAGCTCTCTAAAAGCAAAATATTGTCTGAGTTTTTATTATAATATTTTTATAGTTTCATTTGAGTATCAATCCTTTATTCAAGTATGCCAAGGGACACTCGCCTAAGTCTACTTTTTTTTTAAATGTTTTGTAATTTACTTTTCATGTATTTTATCTTTAGTTCCTAATAGACCTTTAAGGTCTCAAATAATATCAGTTTATATTAATCTATGTAACCTTGTTTTATCTTTATCGTAAAATTTAACACTAAAAGAGAAATATGTGATTCATTTTATTTTTTTAAATGAATAATTATATAATTTTTATAAATCTACTATTTATTTTCTCACATATGGATAGATATATTAGGCAAAATTATATCTTTGATCCTTTAACCTTTACACATTTTTTATTTTGGTCATTTAACTTTTAAAAGTTTCAATTTAGTTCCCTTACTTTAAAAATTATTTTAAATAGGTCCTTTTTCATTAAAATGTTAACTTTATTAAAAATTACTATTTGTCTTTTTTTTTTTTGTTGACTTCTCCGTCACTTGCGATTTCTTTATCTTTCATATCCTCCGCATTGATCTTGTTGAGCTTCTTGGCTCACTTACTAGTGAATTACTTAGCAACATTGGTTGATCATATGATAATGGCAAACTATAAGTTTATTCAAAATGTGGCCATATTCATTAAGATTTAGCTTTAACTATAGGTATAAATTGACGTGAAGTTTATTGGCGTTGATGCAAAAGGACCCTAAACTTTGGACACATTAAACTAAATGGCAAACATAAAGTTATTAAAGAAGAGTGTGTGTGAACATTCTACTTTGACAATAGAGTATTCCCATGAGAGCTGAAGGAGTGAAAAAGAAGATGGAGAAAGAAGAAGAGAAAGAGAAAAAAAGAAAAAAAAAATAAAAGAACAAATAAGTTACAAGAAAGAAGAAGATAACAAGTGAATTTTAACATAATTAATAATTTTAATTAACTTATTTTAAATATTTTAAAAGTTAGAGAATAAAAATAAAATTTTAAAAAATTGAAAAATTATATATATATATATATATATATATATATATATAAAGAAGTTAAAATACCAAATATATAATTTTGTCACATGATTAACTTTAGATTCCTTTTTCTGTCTCTAGGATTTAAAAAATTCTTTATAAATATTGAATTATATTTTTTATTAAATAAATTTTTTTGTCTAAATAAATTAAGTTTAAAAAATATAAATAAAAAACTAATTAACAATTCACATAACAACTTTGTTATATTGTCTAATATAATTTTTAAAATATAAATAAATATTAACTATATAATTATATATCTATAAAAACTATACAATTATATATCTATAAATGTTTAATTTATTTAAAATTTAATATGTTTGATAATATAAATATATAATCGTATTTAATTATTTAATTAATAAAATTTAATGTTTATAAAAAAAATATGAAGTAGAGTTCGTCTTGTAAGAATTACTTTTAAAATAATTTGATCTCACTTCTTATACATACACATATATTAATTTTTTTTTATAAGAGTTATTTTAATTAATAATTCTTTATAAATGTTAAATTTTTTTAATTTAATTTTTAAATAATATAACATGTACATGCTGATTGTATATATTAAAATATTAAATAAATCAAATATGGATGGATATATGTGTAATTTATAATCAATATTTAATTATATTAAAAAAACTATATTATTCGTTATTCAATAAAATGTTAATTGGTTTTCTATTTTGGACAATTCTTTTATAAACTTCATATATTTAAGAAATTTTTTTAATTAAACAATTATATATAAATATATAATTAGCATCTAATATAACGAACATAATATATTAACGTGTTCATGTAAATTTAACAATAAAATTAATAAATATTATTAATGAATTTTGATACTGCTTTCGAGGTCGAATTCAAGTTTTGTGTATGTAAAAAAAATTTAATAATAAATTTATCTACCGTATTTAAGTACATGATTACAGGTCAGATTTAGATTAAATTAAATAAATAATAATAATAAAATTAATAAAAAATTATTTTTTATACAAATTATTAATCCAGAAAATTTTAATTAAAGTAACTTAATCCCTACTCACTCCGTGTATAAAGCAAATATCAATAACTAAAATTTGTATGTTGATTTCGGGAATGTAAATATCTTAAAGCTTTTTAATTATATGAGAGAGTGGGAGTCATGTTAAACTGATGAGCCACTGATCCAAAACTTGCTACACAAGTTTAGTTGCCACTGTGCCTTTGTTTCAAGGACGACAAAAATCAGAGATAAACAGAAAAATTAATTTCTCACTTATTATTTTAAGGAGGTTGCAAGTGTTTCTAAACAAAGCCTAACTCTTATCGTATTATCTTCATTTACATGGAACCCACTTACAGTTCACTACCCTTTTTGTCTTGTGATTTTCTCTTATTTACACACGTTTTCTCTTCTCACGTTTTTTTAATTCACTTTTTCCTTTGTTTCATGATTCTAAGTCCATGATTGTGGTGTGAGGCTGAGTTTGCGTGAGTTGTTTACACTCTACGAACACACATGTTGTGCCTCCCATAAAACATTGTGATTTGTGACTAAGCATCGAACATATATATATACTATTGTTAAGCCCACGCCATGTTCACCCACGTATTATAAGGGATTATTTCGCTTTCTTCAAAGAGTATCTATTACTTAGGTGAACTTCAAAAAAATATTTAAATTCTACTCCTAATTTAATTATTCTCATTCATACTTTTATAATCTCTAATAAATTATAATAAATAATATAAAATATGTTAAAAAAGGATCTCTCTCGCAAATTATGGAATGAATCATTAGCATTGTTTCACAGAAATTCATGTGAATACGACAACATTAAGTTAAATAGAAAGATAGAAAAATTAGTTGATTTTTTAAATATATTATAATATATAATTTTACCTCATTTAATATCATTAAATGTAATCTCATCATCAACATTTATCTTGATTGAATTTATTTTAATTTTTCTTCTACTCTGATTATTAAAGACAAATTAATAAATACTTTATATAAATTATAAAATGCCTTATAATGAACTCTATTAAAACTTTCTAGAAAATATTTTATAAAAATGGTAAAAACTAATATTTTAAAAAATAAAAATGATAAACAAAAGTAAAGTTAAATACTTAATATTAAAAAGTTATATAATTTAAGAAAAGTGATAACAATTATTAAAAATATTCTTGTTTAAAAATGAGGTGGGACATTTATAATCAATCATACAGGGATGGTTACACTCTAGGTAAGATAACACAAGAACACTCACTCATATACGACAAAACTCTCAGTCTGGGAAACAAAACGTGAGTGAGGGACATTTTCAACATAGGACTCTGATGTTTGATAGTGTCCCTTGTTTGTGAGGCTGTTCGCATTGCTTTCTCTCGTGCTACCTCCCATCTTTTAACGTATTTTGTGCTTCTATAAAAACACAAGAAAAGGAAACGAGAGAAAAAAGGTGATTCTATTTCGAAGAGCCAAAAAACCTGCAAGAGAAAGTTCTCTGTTGCAGTGAAAAAGAGCTCCAATAGATAAAAAATGGCGATGTGATGAGCACCTTCTCTGAATTTTTATTTGATGTTGGATGCGAGAATTTGACAAGAGGAACCAAGTCTGAGGTAATTTAACGATACTTTATTGATAATTATGATTTTTAAATACCTTCATAGTATTAAAATTTCTTAATTTTAATTATTATATTATCACTCTTTTCTTGTTCTTTCTGTCTTTATAATTTCTCTTAATTGTCTAAGAAACATTTTACTTCTTTGAATTTGATGATTTAATAAAATCGGTTCTATTACTTTACCATTAGTATTATTTATTCTAAAATTTTGACTTAACTTCGACCTGATAAAACTCAATAATACATGAGATACTATTTATTAAATTTTAAAATTTAATTATTAATATATAATTCTTTAAAATCTATAAATTTTAAGAAAATGAAAACAGTTAATTGAATTAGCATAACTTAAATTATAACTTGAATCTAGATTCAAAATATATTGAGCGAGTTTTTAAAATCTAAACCTATTAAAATTAATTTTAAATCAAACAAAATTAGGGAGACAAACTGATCATAAATCTCCACCAATCCTACGTGTAGCCCAAAGAAAGGACCAGGTTGAAGCATTCAAGAGGGTATCCCTTGCCGATGCATTCCACAGACATCCCTTATCTAATGACGTGGGCAATTTTATTTTATGTTTTTAATTTTAGTCTACACGACATCTAAGTACGATAACTTTATTTAATCAAATAAAATTATTATCCGCGATAAAAAAAAATTTCTTCAAATATTTAATGCATCTAACTATTTAAAATTTTAAATTCGATACCATTACTTAAGGTAAAATAATCTAAACGGCATGGGCAATTTGCACGTAACACTTTGATTGATTTGTTTTAAAATTAATTGTAAATATTATATTTTATTTAATTAAAAACATGAAAATTTATTTTTTAACTGAAAATCAGATGAACACTAATCATTCGTGGACGACAACGTTGTCCTCAATAGTAATTTTGTCATTGGAGTCACTGTGTACTACTCTGAATCTGTAAGCGCCACCACTCACCATAGAAACACATAGTTGGGCGAAACACCCTTTTCGGCACACAGCAAAACACAACATAGAACATACCAAGTTCAAAAGCATGGTACCTGACACGCTTCAACTGCACTTCACCATCAAATTCGAATAAGCCACCGAGAGATAACACTAACAACAATAAGCGCTTACTGTTTATGCCACCCCGTCCTCCCTGCTTCTATGGTTTTCCCTTTAACTGTGATTTGTTTCATTGCACTTGATTATTCTCTGCTGTTTCTGTTTTTATCTAGGATACGAATATAGCCTGTCATAATGTTTTCTAATTAATTAAGTGTTGATTTTCTCGTGCCCAACAAATGTTCGAAGAAATTCATAAAAAGAATTTTGAAAAGTGATTTCTTTTAATAATCTGGTTGTTTAAGTGCATACTTTTTTTTATAGTCTTCTTAATGATTTTTATTAATGTATTTGTGTTGCCTTAATAGGTTTTTAGTATATCTTTAGCATAGGGGTTATTGGTCTTCAACCTAGAAATATTGGAAGGAATGGGATTGTAAGTTTGTGATTGTAATGACCGGGATGAGCTTCTTGGAATTGTAAAACTTGTTAGTTTGAAGTTGTGGTTCCACAGTGATGAATGTGTGCATTTAGGGACCTGATGTCCAATTTTCACGAATGTTTCTTACATTTCCAACCCTTTTGCAACCCCAAATCTTGGCTATTATTCGGATTTCTTTACTGATGATTCAGAAAACATGAACTGTGAATTTTCATCTGTAGTTCACAGTAGATTCGACGTTTGAAAATTAACTTATATGATGATTGTTTGGTGCTACCTTGTGCACAAATGTCTTAAGAAGAAACAGATGTCTCCTACCTGCAATTAGGAGTCTCCAGGTTAATGTGTTAGGAGTTAGGAGAGAGGGAAGGGAAAGATAGTTGAGGTAGTTATTGAGGTTAGTTAGTGGAAGGGATTCGTTAGTTTGAGTTGGTTTATGTGGTAAATAAATAGGATGAAGATGTAAGGGAAAGGGATTCAGATCTGTTATCATTTGTGAATTGAGCTTTTGCTCTTTGTGAAATGAGAAATTTATACTTATATCTTTATGTATGCATGGGTGAAGAGCAGTTGGAACTTGGAGTAAGCACACACTTGATTGGTTGAATTGTTAATTGGCAATTGGAATTAGAAGTTATGATCATATACATATTCTTAATCTCCTGCCTTTGAACTGAACATAGTCGTAACTTTCTTTTCTTTCAGAATTACGGTTGTTGAAGAAATCATAGCAAACAGATTTAGACAACTAAATAACAGGTGTTCAAGAAGGTTCTGTTATCCAGCACTAGCACCCAAGGTTGGCCCCTTTTTCTTCTATATGTATGTCATTTATATATATTCATCTAGTTTAAAATGAAGATTTCTCATGTGAAAAGTCCGTGTCTAATTTGTTCAATGCTACTGTTCTGGTTGCTATATGTTTCAGTCCCGTTGTATTGGAGTTTCACGCATTTTATTCTAAGTTTATCATGCTTAAAAGTTAAATGGTGATCTGTTTACTTTTTCTTTTCACTAAATATGATTGCTGTCTTGTAGAGAAACTGCATGTCACTTGTCTTGTTGGTAGCTTGTTAATGATGTTCCATTTTCGGTTCTGTATGTGTAGATATTGCATACCTTTTAGATCGGGCCTTAAATGTGCATTTTTGCTTCAAAATAATTGAGTTTTTTATGTCCTGCTTTTGGTGGGGTTGAATTGCTCTTTACTAAAAGAAAACAAATAAAAAGTATAAAACAAAAGTAGGAAAGACAACTAAGTGCTGTGAATGTCGTCGTTCAAAATGTTAATCACCAGGGACCCAATTCTCTACAACTTTCCATAAAATTTTAGATTTAAAGACAAAACACAAACCTAGCTAAAAGCTGCTTTATGATCCTTCAGACTTAAAAATCTTGATGTTTTGTTACATATTGGGTGGCAAAGCGGGAATACATATTCTGAAAATAAATTATTATTATTCTGATTTGCGAAAACTGTATGAAGAAATGTAACATGTGGTAGTAACAATAAATAGAAACAGATGGACTCCTTATGTCAGGTGATGATAATGCTCAGACCTATCTATTTGGCATAGCAGTTTGGTTCTTTGACTGCCTAATCTAAGGAAGTATACCCTTTCTTGCTTTGGCAAAGTAGATGAATTTATAATTTATACTGTGCACTGCATATTTATTTGTCACTTGTTATAAAATAATTAGTCTTCATAAATCTCTCATCCTAATGCCCAATTAAAAACAGACCTTGTTAGATTTTGCTCTAGCTTCATTGCTGCAAACTGATGGAGGAACAGGTTGCTGGAATCCCAGCACTTATAGCTCACTCCACTTTTAGGATAGCAATGCTTAAACCCTCTATACAAGTTATCATTAATTGATGAGAAACTTTGTCTTCATCATTGATTTGATGAATTCAAGTAACAAAGAGTGAGGCACTGTTTTATGTGGTGCCTGAACTAGGAGATTTAGTCTTTTTAGTCATAATTTCTTATTAAAATTGACCACAAATGAGAGAAGTAATTATAAGCTTGTTGCAATTAAATTTACTGCAGACTTCTGGCTGTTTGACATCATTTTCTTTTACAGATCAGATTAAATACTTCATTGTTTTATTTTGGGCATGCATCTTGATGTTCTACTGTTGTTGCTTTTACTCATCCTAATGCTAATTTATAATGAAAGTTCTTCTGAAACAGGTATATCTTAGACTCTTCAAGATTCATAACTGAACACTTCAATGCAGAAAAGTACTGGAGATATTACAAACCACCTGCTTGGAGGTTTATATTGCTATCTAAGAAGATGCATGTTTTCCATTTTATCTGTGGGTCCTGTGCCAAATCATATTGCTTTCATCATGGATGGGAATCGTAGGTATGCAAAGAAGAGAAACATGGTAGAAGGTGATGGCCATAAGGCTGGATTTACTGCTCTCATGTCCATCCTTAGATACTGTTATGAATTGGGAGTGAAGTATGTGACTGTCTATGCATTTAGCATTGATAACTTCAAAAGAAAGCCTAAAGAGGTTCAGTCCTTGATGGAGTTGATGCGAGAAAAAATTGAGGAGTTACTTCAACAGGAAAGCATTATTAATGAATATGGTGTTAGATTACATTTCATTGGAGACATGCAACTATTGACTGAGCCTGTCAGAATTGCTGTGGAAAAAGCAATGAGAGTTACTGCCCACAACAACCAGAGAGTTCTTTTAATTTGTGTAGCCTATACTTCTCGTCACGAGATTGTGCATGCTGTTCAAGAGTGCTGCAAGGAAAAATGGATTGAAGTTCAAGCATCAAAAGAAACAAAAGTTACCAATGATGCATTTGCAAGAATTGATCAGGGCTTGAAAGAAAATGGTTTTGATTCGCTTTTTCATGATTCACGTAAAGACTATCTATATGCAACCAAAGCTTGTAGTAGTGTACCTGAAGGAGTGGAAGATGGTGGAGAGAATGATGGCATGTATGAGTATGATGTTGAAAAGCATAAGAGTAACTGCCATGAAGCTGAAATCACATCACGCAATGAGCTTATTGAAAGGGCTGAAGAGGGAAAGTATAAGCAGGGTGAAGTTCGTTTCATAAAAGTGGTGGATATTGAGAAGCACATGTACATGGCAGTGGCACCTGACCCAGACATCTTGATCCGAACTTCTGGAGAGGCTCGCCTCAGCAATTTTCTTCTTTGGCAAACTAGTACTTGCCCTTTGTATGCACCAACTGCACTTTGGCCTGAAATAGGTCTAAGACACTTGGTCTGGGCAGTATTGAACTTTCAGAGACACCATTTTTATTTGGAAAAGAAAAGGAAACAGTTCTAACTGCATCCTTGTTCGCCAAAATTCACAATGTAGTTCATGTTATGGCTGTTTGTTTTTTCTTCTTTTTTTGAAAGACTACTTTTTGCCTTTATTTTTCTTTGATAAGAGTTGTTGAAATTTAAAGAGTTTAAGTAGAAGAAAAGGAAAAGAAAATAAAAACGCTTTGGATAATAGAATACAACATTGACGTGGTATAAATTACAATGCACTTGCCCTTGTTTATTTCAGGCAATTATGTGTGATAAAATACAATGCAGTGTTCCTTATTTATTTCAAAAATACTATAAAATATAAAAATTGTACTTTATCATTTAAAATATTTTAAGATACACTAATAAATTCTAATTTTTTTGAAAATATTTTAAGAGACACAAAAGACATAAGTTTTCCATGACTACATAAGTTTTCCATGACTGAGGTATAAACTGTTTGAGGGATTAATGGCATGTATAGTTCAGCTTAATTCAAGAAAAATAATCATTTATTTTTATAATTTTTTAAAAATATTATAAAAGAATAGTTTAAAAAAAAAATTTGAACTAAACATGTACTAATTTTGGGTTTGAGCAGTATTGGACTTTCACGTGCATTATTTTTGCATGTGAAAAGAAATAAAGTTTTAGTTGTAACCAAGTTGTAACCTTATCAGTCAAACTCACAAACTAAATAATGCAATGACATATTTCATCTTTTTGGAGCATTTTATGATTTTTATTTTTCTTTGGTTTGCTTGCACCCATACGCGCGCTACGCCTACTCGTGAGACAGGTTCGTCACTTGACGTAGGACAGATCCAAGCCGTAGTCGGAAAAAAAAAAGGGCTAAAATAAATATATTTTATTGATGTTATAATTTTTTTATGTATTAAAAAATAGTTAATTGTTAAATATTAATTTTTATGACAAATATATTATCTAAATAAATATAACCTTCATAGTTAATGTATAAAAATAATAATTATTTATCAATTCTGCTAATTTTATAATAAGAAATGAAATAGAGGGGAATGAAATATATATATAGAGTGAAAATGGAGTTGAAAAAATATATTTTTTGTATGGATTGAAATAAGAGAGAATGAAATAAAAAGTGTAAGAATAAATGATTAAACTAATTAAAAATAATCATAAAAATAAATTTAATTAAAAATATTTTTTATTATCATATTTTTAATAATAAATTTTATTATTTTAAATATTTTTATATTATATATAAATTATTTGAAAAAAGTAAATAAAACAAAAGTTTAAGAAGTTTCATTATTCTCCCCAATTGTGACTCCATTTCATGCCGGGAAGGACTATGGTAAGTCTCATCAAAATTCTTATATTTGACTTAATTCAAAAATGATATATATTTTTTAAACTTTTTTTACAAATGTCAATATTTAAATAATAATATATTAAATAATAAACTAAATTTGAATTTATAAACTAATGCTCAAGTTTTTCTAAGAGTTTCTTTCAAGAGTTCATTTTTAAAAAAACAGAGAGAGACTATGCTACCCCTTTTCTTTTAGGGTTTGCTTAACCCTTTCCTTATTTTTTTCCTTTAACGATACTACAGTGAAAGAACTCCTTCTAATGGTATCTACAAAAATGAATGAGAGCTCTAGCCCTCAGATTCCTCGATTCAAGAAGGAAGTGCTAAAGGCGAGAGCGAAGGCTAAGAAACGCTCAACAGACAAGGCTGATCTAAAAGATTGCAATTCAAAGAAAGGTAGAATGAAGGCTATGAGTCCGCTGGAGGTGTTGAATCAACATATACAAGAAGACCTGTGTTTCTCTTGACCATCAAATAATATCGCCGTTGTGACAAAGGATCTTCCATCCCTCTCCTCCAAGAAGGAAGCGATTATAGGGAGATCTGAAGTAGAGAAACATTCCTAAAAAGAGGTAGACCTCAAGACCCATATATCTAAGAAGGTTCGAATGGAGGATGTGGTCTCTCAGGAGGTGCTAAATCAACAAATGCAAGAAGATCCAAGTTTTGATCTTCTCGCGAATCAGGTTCCCTCTAACTCTTGCTCTCCTTCTTCTACATCCTATAGGGATAAAGTTTTAGTGCTAAAAGATATATCTATGGACTTAAGCAATGATAAAATTCTCAGATCTGTAATGGAGGATTTTGATATCCCTCCAGCAAAAGGTGTGGGCGCCTCTGATGTAAATGTTACTAAAGATCTTTGCCCTGAGATTAGAATCCCTTTGGAAGACTATGAGCAATGGTGCTCACTTTGGAAATATACCCTTATAGTAAATATCCTAGGAAAATCTACAAGTTTTAACTTTTTAAACCAAAAATTGGGTACTTTGTGAGGGAGGGGAGGAGGAGAAATGGGGACCTAAAAATTTTAGACCTGAATAATGATTATTACCTAGTTAAATTTGACAAAGTAGAAGACTACAAATTTTCACTTTTTGAGGGACCTTGGCTAATTTTAGACCAGTACCTATTGGTCCAGAGGTGGAGACCTCTTTTTCGACCCAAGGACTATAATCTTAAAAGAATTGCAGCATGGATTTGAATCCCTTACTTACCTCTAGAATTGTACAATCAGAAATTTTTATGGCAAGTAGGGTCATGTCTGGAGACAATGTTAAAAATAGATCCACACACTTTTTTAGTTTCTAGAGGAAAGTTTGCTAGAATATGTGTGGAATTAGACCTGAACCAAAAGTTGGTTCCTTCTTTCAAAGTGTTAGGTTAGGAATTTAGAGTAAAGTATGAAGGTTTACACTTAATTTGTTTTAACTGTTGTAGATATGGTCACAAAATGGACCTTTGTAGTGAGAAGCCTGATTTTAACCCTAATGTTCAACCCCATATTACAGATCCGTCTGAATCCATAGTTAATAAAAATAATGGAGAAGATTCTAGAATAATTACTACTAAAATTAATACATACCCTAGCCCAGAAGATGAGATTAGGGATGTTAAGGGCAAATTCGGCCCTTGGATAATAGTTAAAAAGCCCATTAGAAGGAAACCTGGTTTATCTAGGAATAGTAATTCCCCTATCCCTGCTGGAAAAGGTAAGGATCCCATGCTAGGATCTCATTTTGATGTTTTGGCCAATGCTGAGACTAAAGAGATGCATAAAATTACTTATGACTTTAAGATCACACCAGGTGATCAACATGTAGATAGTACTAAAGAATCTAATAAGGGTAACTCTAGTAGGTTTGATCATGCAGGGAAAAGTGGCCCAAAAAACCTTGCTCCTAGCAATAATAAGAAAGTAACTCAGCCCAATCACAACATGCAACCAGCTAAAGTTCATAAGGATCCTAAGGAGGATTCGCTACCTATAGAACAGAACCCATATATCTTTGAAGATAATTCTTTAAATAAGAAAAATAATTGGGAATAAGACATTTTCCTTATAGAAAGCATATGGAGAATGAGATTATACAGAACTCTTATAATAAAGGATCTATACAAGACATTTTAGGAATAAATCTAGGGAGTTGTTGGAACTTCTATACATTCCCTGGAAGGGATATAGAGAGTGAACCCTTTGACCTTGGACCTAGTATGGATATAGATAAGCCTGTTAGTAGCACTGAGTGATTAGCCTTTAGATATGAGCTGGAATCTAGCATGCTTTTGACCAAGCATCCTAAGGATGCCTTTAGATTTATGAATTGTTTCTTCTAGAACTACAGGGGGTGGAGGTAAAATTTTTCCTTGGTTAACTAATGATTTTGGTGAATATTTACAAAGTAGACTTTCTTGCTTTATTTGAACCACATATTAGTAAGGATAAAACTGACAACATAATTAACAAAATTCAATTAAACGGGTGTGAGAAAGTGGATGCTGTTAGTTTTTCTGGGGGCATTTGGTGTCTTTGGAATAATAATTAACTTAGAGTGACTGTTGTGGCTATTTGCTATTCATCTAAAAGTTAAAACCCTAGATAATAAGGAATGGTTTTTGTCCTCCACCTATGTTAAGCCTATAGATAAACTTAAAACTAAATGCTGGAGAGAATTAGTTGAGTTTAGTAAGAATATCATTGGCCCCTGGTACTTTGCTGGAGATTTTAACACTGTTCTCTATAATACAGAGAAGATGGGGGAATAATGCTAATATATACCAGATAAACAAATTTGCTAGTTGTTTAAATGAGTGTAATATGTTTGATCTTGGGTTCAAAGGCAACCTTTTTACTTAGCATAGAGGTAACTTAAGAGAGAGAATAGATAGGGTAGTTATAAATGATAGCTAGAATCAGATCTTTCCTAACAGTTGTATGGTTTATATTCCTATCCCTAAGTCTGATCATGTTGGTCTATAGCTTAAAATTAGGGCTGATAATAGTAAAATGAATTATAATAATACTAACTTTAAATTTTTGACTCCCTAGATCTCTTACCCTGATTTTAGTAATCAAGTTCATAATTCTTGAATTTCCTCTACTGCTTGGGCTGAGAATGTTATTAGATTTAGGGATAATATCTCTTTATGGAATAAGAATGTTTTTGGAAATATATTTAATAGAAAGAAACGTCGTATGAGTAAAATAGAGGGTATCCATAGGAAATTAGCTCATAACAACAACTTTTACCTCTATAATCTCATAACTTCCCTCTGGCAAGAATATCAGCAGGTGCTGGATTTTGAAGAGACTTATTAGTATCATCATTACAGATCAACCTGGTTAAAATTAGGGGACAAGAATACCAAATTTGTTCATAAAGCTATTGTTCACCACAAGAAAAGAAATATAATTGAAGCTCTTAAGAATGAGTCTGACTAATGAGAATTCAATTCAGATAACTTGAAAACCTTAGCTTTTAATTATTTTAGGAAGTTGTACTTTGAATCCTGTCTGTTCTTTCTTGTCTTGTGCACTGTATCCTCGTTTCCTCTATTAAAGGATACTAATAGAATTAGGATTGATGCTAATATTTCCATTGAGGAGGTTAGAACCTCCCTGTTTAGCATTAGAAACAAGTGGAAGCAACTTGCTCTATTTTTATTCAGACTAGTTAATGATATTTTTCTTAACCCCACTAAGGTAGCTGAAGTTAATG